AGACAGTATTATGAGGCGAGGGGGTGGCAGTCTGTTTGCTACATGGCAAATCCATGCATAGCAAAATCTGTATGTACTTTTAGTAGTGGTATATATAAGAAAAGAAATAATTGTTTATTGCAACTCTGGACAATCTGAAACTAAACTTGTACGAAACCAGGAAGGACATATATTTTTTGGTCTTAACCTTTTCTTGATGCTAAATTTAAGAATATTATTTTCTCACCCAATTGAACATTTTTGAAAACGCCCAGATGTAGGCTACATGCCTACATTTAAGAAATAGAAAACACTTTCCGTGTCTATATAGAGTTATAGAAATACGCGTGAAAGTTTGGGAGAAACGAGAAATTGCGTAAGAGCACGAGCACAAAGTGCGAGTGTTTCCACGCAATTTCGAGTTTCTCCCAAACTTTCACAAGTGTTTCTATAAACTCTATAGAAACACGGAATTAAAAACAATAGAAAAGAAAAAAAAGAAAAAAGAAATTTAAAAACAATAGAAAAGATAAATTTATTGATTTTAAAGTGGAAGTCAAGTCCGTATGTAAACAAGTGGTTTGTTTCCATTTTGAACTGCTGTATTTTTTAAAATATGATCTACTGTCTGAAAATCTAACACCATTTTGGTTCGCTATGCTTCTAAATGAGTATGAAATAAAGTTTATGTTCAGAAAAATTCGAAATATTCGAAATTTGGGCAATGTTTACATTAGAGGGTCCTCACATTGTTATGAGCAGAACCGATGCGCAGAACGGACTTGACTTCCGCTTTAATAGTTTTCATTCAAATATTAATTCCACCTTAATATACATTCGTGTAAAGAATAATTATAAAAGCATAGCGAAGTAAACAAGAATGTCGCTGTCAATTTAACAAATAAATTACATTTTCCCGTTGTCTGTTCAGTTATAGATACACAGTATGACGTCATATTTGGTAAGAACAAAAAAGTGTGTCCACGAACCGCCCAGGCGAGTAGTCACTTTTTGTTCTTACCACATATGACGTCATTCTGTGTATCTACTAGAAAATACATGCATGCAGAAACCCTCGGCCTCGCCTTACTGACAAAACATTATGTTTTCTGAATATGAAGAATTGAAAGTAGTTGTCATGGTAACACGATAATTTTAAGAATATAGTTTTAAAATTGAAAAATCCCCTCAAAATATCACTTTTAATAACAAAATTATCAATTTCCCAAACATATATATGCTAGGTATGTTATTTATTATACGTAACATAAGCTTCAATTTAATATAAAATTCAACCACAAACGCTTCGCAACACGTTTTGAAAATCTTCTTAAAACTAAACGGCCTTTTATCGATTTATCGGTAAACATTGAGTTTGAAATAAACTGATTTCAAATTCTCGCATGAAAATAACTTTGGTTTCCTCGTAAATACTTTAATATACAAAAGAAAGGGTAATTAATAAAACTACACTGAAATTATATGCTGTCTTTGTTCACTTTATATATACGCAATGATAGTATCAGTTCGATATTCGCAGTATCGCCCACCACTATCAGTTATAAATATATCAATTATAAAACAAACAATAGGCCACATAAAATAAATTCCTTGATTCTCATCACCGCCCTACTGTATTTTAAGAGCCGCGTGAATTTTTTTTATATTTTGTTATACAATATAAATGTACCGCCCGACAAAATATTTCAAGACAGTTAAGTTTTTTGTATTTTATATTGGGTTTTTAGTGCCATTTTAAACAGCCAATTTCAAACAAATAGAACCTTGAAAGAAATTTCATTGCATTTTAACGGAACTTCGCATTCAGTTCAAGGGCCAGTCATTGTTCGTGGAGAAATATGTTTATTTCAGTTTGTGACACTTTTATTTATTGATATATATTAAATTATATCAATATAAAAATTAATATGAAATATAAACCTCCCGCCTCTTCGACATTTTCAAAGTGTAGTGATGAGAATCAAGGAATTTATTTTTTGTGGCCATACATCAATATTTAAAACAAACTTACCTTCGTTAACGTCGGCGACTTTGCTCTATTCTTTTAGACTCTCAGAAAGGTTTTGAAATTTACAAAATCTTGCAAAAATACAACTTGCAAGAAAATTGAAGAAATGATTGTTATTTTGCTATCGTCAATGCCACAGAGGAAGTATATACAGAGAGTTCACTCAAGCCAAAACAAGTCACACGCACGATTGGCCATACTGCGCATGCGTAACTTCCCAGCCAGTACCGTGAAATTTTTTTATAAGGAAATAGATGGGAAAATCCGAATTTTTGACATAAAAACAGCGATTTTAACGAAACTATCCAGGTGATTTGCTGTTTCGTTCTAATTTCAAGAAAATGGGTTAGACTGGACATTTTTAACAACAAATGGGGGCTATAAACACTACTTGAACGCTGCGAAAAGGGAAAATTATACTCGAAGGAGTGAAGTTCGAAACTTGTGTTGACAAGTCAAAAAGAGATCAAAAAGTTGTTCTACACGATGTTCTATACTCCAGTTGTGTCGTTTTTTGGCAGAAAACTCAGAAGTTGTTCAGAATTGACATTCCAGTATATTTCGTATCGTATAATGTTCAGGTAAGAGCATAATTCACTTTTTTCAACGACAAAAAGCTAGCAAAAAACAAGTCTCGACCAAAATATCTCTGTCTTTGAGAGTTCGATACGTATGTTGATCTGATTTAAATTGTGTATTTTGATTGTCAGGATATCAACCCATTAAGTACAAACTCAACTTGCCAAGCAGAAAGTCTTGCCACTGAAATATATTCCCGGCAAATAGTTTTGTTCGCTTTATAGGATATCACAATCTGTGGGCAGACCGCTCCTTCAACTTTCAAAATCAAATAAAAGTTTTTCAAAAGCTCAACCGTACTTCTTATGTGAATAGAAAAGATCACATACTGTTATTGTTGACTGAAAAATTTTGTCCAGATATGAAGCTCGAAAGCGTTTTTTCCTTAAAAATGCCACTTTTTGCATTTCGAACTGCGTTTTCCCTATAGTTTTGACTGAAAACGCAGCGACGGTACTGGCTGCTGGCATATTAATTTTTTTTTGAATATTTAATTTGCTTTTGATGGCGTGTAAATTGCGTCAGCTTCGCAAATCCGTGTGACTTCCTAAACACTGCATTTTTCACCGAGTGAACTCTCTTTATATCTTTACTCTTTGTCAATGCAGTCGTTACAATACAAATTTAAAATTTGACCAATCAGTGAGGATGACCACCCATGAACGGTGAGCCATGCGCCCACGATATTTGATGAATTTTAGACTCCGCTAGTGCGTTCCTTTCCCCGGGTGTAAATAACCGGGGGGAGGAATTAATACCCTCGAACGGCGCTTCGCGCCGTCGGCTCGGGGATAACTGAATAGACAACGGGAAAATGTAATCTACCTTATTATAGGAAATTAACGATGCACTTTATTAACGCGAATTTTAAAAATTCGCGTTAATTTAATTAATGTTAATTTATGTTATCGTTAATTTCAAGCATGCAAATTTTAGTTATCGTTAATTAAAAAGACCTTGATTTGTTTGTATTATTTACAACATGAGCGGCCGTGTTGTATCGGATATACAAACTCGAGCCGAAGGCGAGAGTTTGTATATCCGATACAACACGGACGCGAATGTTGTAAATGGCTTAAAAAACGACTTATCCTATGAGTTCATTGGCGAAGTAATTTTAAAAATAAACGTTGTCTAAGCCGAGAAAATCAAAGTTAAAGTTTATGTAAATCAACATGAATCTGTATCACATATACAGATACGACACGCTCATGATTTTTCTTTGTGTTTTCTTCATGAATTATTAATGAGTTTTTTATTATATAACACGAATTCTTTTAACTCAAAATGCATCATATTAAACCTCAAAACAAAAACATCAGTCCACCTCTTCACTGTCACTGTCAGAATCTTAAGCTGAACTATATATATTTATATACATTGGCTTAATTAAATGACTGTAACTTTCAACGTTACAGTTTTGATATATCTACTCGCGTACTGTTTTAATTGGTAGTATATAATACTTTTGCTGTTGTGTTTATATTCTTCGACCCGCGTTAGTTAAATTAACCATAAACTGTCAAATTCGCGTTAATTTAATCAATTTTAGAAGTACCTGATAGCAATTCGCGTTAATTTAATCAGTTTTAGAAGTACCTGAAAGCAATTCGCGTTGATTAGATGACACGTTAATTTAGGTCGCGTTAATAAAGTGCATCGTTAATTTCCTATAATAAGGTATTTGTTTTATATGATAAAATTGAAAAAATTCCCGAATTAAACAGGTATAAGCAGTTTATTTTTTTCCCCCAAACACTTGGAAGTCGAAATTTTGCAAATATCACGCGTACATAATCTATACAAATAACGAAATGCTATTGGCTCGCTTAAGTCACGTGCTGAATTCTGATTGGCTAAGCTTAGAATGCGCTAGACGGTAATAAATAAGGAAAAACTAAAAATTTATCAAAATAGTGAAAAAACATTGTTTTAAAGGAATAAAAACGTGTGATAAAAAGGCAATTATTTTGTTCTGAGCGACTATGGCAATTGAAAAGCACTTAAACATTATGTACCTGTGTTGCACGAAGTGAAGAAACCAGCTGGGAAATAAGACATCGACAGGGTCAAATGACCGAAATAGAATTTGTTTTCGAAGACCGGATTGGATTTTGAAGTCGCATCTGAATGACTGAATTGAGATTTGCCGAGTTGCTAGCTTTTGTGAGTGGTTTTTGCACGTTTATCGAAGGTATTTATTGATGTTTATAGATTTAATTGCATGAATTCATTCCATTTGTATAAATTCAGTGGAATTTTCAAGTGTTTTCGACATTTTAAAAACTTATGACGTAATTCCGTGCGTCTGTCCTCTAATAGATCATGGTTCTCGACCATTGAAATCGCATGAATTCTTTAGGTTATTATATAATAAACAACAGACAGCTTTTTTTTTTTTTTTTTTTCTTTTTTTTTTAATCACTTTTTTGCAAAAATAAAATATTTACATTGGCAAAAGGTGGCCGCACAGGACATAGTCCCAATTGATTACAGCTACCATTTAACTATACATACATACATAACATGCCATTAATTAAATACAACACTACATTGTCAATACTATATAATTTCAGCTAAGTTAAAAGTCACTACTATCTACCAATCTCAAAGAGTAGAGTTCCTTTAATGCAGTTTTAAAAGTACTTATTCTTGCAATAGTTTTTAAAGTAGGAGGTAGACTGTTCCATGAGCGTATAGCTCTAGGAAAATATGAATAACCAAAATAGTTTGTTCTATACCTAAATTCAGAAAAATTATCTTGATGAGAATTTCTTAAATTATAACCAGATTGAGGCTTCATCTGAACATTCTCGGCATATTCCTCAAAGTCAAGACTATATAACCCATTCTTGAGTTTAAAGAGAAATATTAAGTCCTTCATTTGCCGACGAGACTCAAGTGGAAGGAGATCGAGCATAATCATTCTACTTTTGTAATCAGTGTCCTTTGGATAGTTTAGTATAAATTTGGTGGCTCTACGTTGGACATTTTCAATTAGTGCAGTGTATTTTTTTTCATAGGGAGACCATAATTCACTTCCATACTCTAATAATGGGCGAACTAATGTACAGTAAAGTAACCTTCTGGTCTTTAAGTCCTTTAGATCCACACATGTTCTCTTCACTAGTCCAAGTGTCCTATTTGCCTTTGAAGTTATTTCGGAAATATGAGTAGCCCACTTTAGATCACTGGTGACGTTGATTCCAAGATCTCGGATGTAGGTTACTCTTTCTAGCCAGTTGTTATCAATGGTATAATCAGTTTCCAACCTGGGAGTTTTCTTTCTCGTAATTCGCATTGTTTTACATTTTGTAACATTGAAATCCATGTACCATTCAATGCTCCAGGAATGTAATCGATTTAAGTTGCATTGGAGGTTAATACCGTCATTGGAACTCCCAATTATCTGAGACACCTTTGAATCATCTGCAAATAGCGCAATATCTGTTGGCTTATGTATGCACTCCGGAAGATCGTTAATATAGAGTACAAACAATAGAGGCCCCAGAATAGACCCTTGGGGTACCCCTGATGTAACACTTAGTAAATCTGAGCAGTCACCGTCTATTACAACTTTTTGGGATCTTGCAGTAATATAGTCCGCAAACCAGTCGTGAAGTGTCCCTCCAAAGCCATGACGTTTCAATTTGTCAAGAAGTGGATGATGTGAGATTCGATCAAAGGCCTTCGAAAAATCTAAGTAAATTGTATCAACCTCATGCCCATTATCTAAAGCCTCAAGGATTTTATGATAAAATCGGACGAGCTGGGTAACACAATTTCTGCCTTGAACGAAACCATGTTGATAGAAGGTTAGTTTATGTTGTATAAACTCGTAACAATGATTATATATACATCTCTCCAAGACTTTCGACAAAATCGATAAGAGGGAAATGGGTCTATAATTTGTCACTACATGGGGATTACCCTCTTTTAGAATTGGAGTTATAAGAGCTGTTTTCCATGCTGGAGGCACTTTTCCAGAACACAACGATAAGTTAAA